ATTTAAGTACAAAATTCTACAAACCATTAATTTCAAGATAAACTAAAACGGCCATTCGACGACTTAACTATGGATTACTTCATGAGTTCGTAAACAGTATAACCAGTAAATGATATTATATGAGGCATGGTAGGAGTCATTAACCATGATTTATAAAGCTTAAGGAAAGTTGATGGGAAAGCATTATGTTTAGTGTCCTTTCTTTGTTGTGGTAGTTATAAAGGCATCTAAAGCGAGATAATGCACAGTAACAGACTGATTCAAATTAATTAGGCCTAAACTGCGAACAAGTGACTCAAATTAATAAGTGCACAATTAACTGCAGTGGAAAGGTTAGATTAATTGTAGCAAACAATTTTCCTCTGTTAAATATAAGCCTAATTTTTATTGTGATTGCCAATGCCTCTGCAGCCTTTGGGACGTTTTCAGTGAGCAGAAGACCTTGCTAACTTCCAGCATTTTAGCAGATTATTTCTTGAAAACAGCTGCGTTTGATTCCTTCTCAGACCACAATTTTCAACAGCTGTTCATTAGTGATCAGATTAGACCGCAACACCATGGGACTATAATGGACAGAACATTGCTGAAAGTGCTTTCGTTGAGCATTATGACGCTTCTGACTGTTTACCAGGATTGTGAAAGTTATCACATCTATGACAGCGATCTTTGCCTCTTCCGTCAAGGAACTATCATATATAATTACCGTCTTCAACTAGAACCGACACAATGTACTTGAGATGTCGACATCCTCTACTGTTATAGTAAACTTTAACAGCGGGCAGCGGCGAACGCTCTAACGCTTTTTTAACTTGAGTCATATCCCTACTGCTACAGTCGTGTTGAATGTATTCTCAGGTAGAAAATTCAGTCATTTTCAAGAGAATGGCCTTCGTTTCTGTTTTCACTACGTCATTATCTGCAGAGCAGTTCAGCTCTATGTATTACCATTGTCTATTTTTCTGCCATCGCATCATGTTACACGATCCTTAAGCTGTAACTTGATTTTGTCACGATACTAACTGTACTTTATGGATCGATGGTTACGATCATTTGGAGACACAGAATGCATTTAAAACACAATCTGACAACAAATAATTTCGCTCAGAAAAGTCTACACATGAACTTGAAGACTCAGGCAGTGCTTAACAAATACGTGATCACTGATCTGTTGAACTTCATGGTCTGAAGTCTGAAGAAGCATAAAACTACATCCATCTGGGACAGCTGGTCCCTGCAAAGGGGAACTCAACTGTGAAATCAACAGAAAACTAAAAATGGCATGGAGCACTTCTGCAAGACTGAAAATGTTCCTATGCGAGAAACTGCTCTTGCTCGTGAAAGGGAAAATTTTCGATCACTGTGTGCTACCAGTGCCTAACTCATGGGTGCGAAACGCAGATGCAAAGCCTGAAAAATTATTCATTAACTGCAAACTGTGCAACGCAACGTGGAAAGGTGCATGTTTGAAATAAAAAGAAAAGATTGAAAGACAAGCTAATGAATACGAGTACAAACAAGAGTGTTCAATATTACTGTCTGAGTGAAAAAATAAAAGTGAAAATGAGCAGGACATGATGCAAGAAGAACCGACCATCGCAGGACCTATCAGACATTGGACTGGAGTCTAAGATTTCCAGATCGACTGCAAGATGAACTGAAGAGGTTCACTGAATCCAGAAGGATACAAATGGCAAAAAATGAAGGTTGTGGCAAAATCTTGAAGAAGCTTTCATCCAGCAATGGATCGAAAAAGACTGACGACGATAATGAGATCTACTCCATTTTCATATTCAAAAATTTAAAAAGGGTATACTAGAGTCTTCTGAAATTCTTGTCCCTGACCGTCGCAAAACAGATTGAAAAAAAGAATGAAAACGCACGTACCGGCCCCTTTTTGACGTTAGCAACGGTAAAGTCCGGGCAAAACAACAAGTCGCAAAGCACTGTGAGCAAAATTTTTGCAAGGGGTCTTTTGTCTTCCTGAAGTAAAACAAAAAATATTCTAAACACAGTGATAAATTATAAAAAACGTACAGGATCATTGTCGTCATCGTTAAACGGGACGGCAGACCAAAAATATCCCTGCCAATCAGGATCT